TAGTAAGTATAAACTGCTAAATACCTTTTCTCATCAGCAGTCTTGTGACTTCAGCTGAGCACTGGTTAAAGCTCTAGGAGAATGCAAAACCCCTGACCCTCTGTCTGGACAGTGCAGATTGGTCCTGTACTGATCACATGCACTCTCCCCAAGAAAAAAAAACCCCTCTAGCAATACACACTAAACTGAGCATGTGCATGTGGCTATGGGTTCAGTCTGTCTTATCATTTGAACAAGAGGAGGGGCAGAGAAAACATTTTTCCACAATGCAGAGGATTGCTTATTGCTGTGTGTGTCTCTATTGCAGATAATAGTTTCTTTATTTTCACTGGTGCCCACTGTCACCACATAAAGTGAGGGCAAAAGGAAAGAGCTGTCCCCAGAAATAGAAGTAAAGGTAAATATTCTAACAGGGATGCTTGTTTCAGGGACAACTGTCCAAAAGGGAAATTTCCCTCACTTTGGGAGATTTCTTTCAATTTCCTTTTGTGTCACTGGGACAGGAAGTGAAGGATAACTCCCCATTTGTACACAGACAACAAAAAAATAACCTGGTAGGGATTTTAACCCTCTACTCTATCCTACACTTACCAGTTCCGTGCCGCCCTATAGCAGAAACACTGCTACAAAGCAGCACGGATGAGCAAAATCACGTACATATATGTGATTTTGCAGTTCCGGGTAGGGGCCTCGGCTGTCATTCACTGGGTCCCGGCTGGTGATTACTCGCTGGCACCTAGTGATCGCTGAGTATCTCAGACGGGGGAGAGACCTATATGTAAACAATACAGATCTTTCCTCTGTCAGCTCCTGCACACTCCTGCACACTGCATAGCAGAGCCATACAAAGCAGTGTGCTTAAAGTGAAGCACACACACAGCCCCCAAAGTGAAACAGCACACAGCACACAGTTAACCCTTTGATCACCCCAGATGTTAACCCCTTCATGCTCAGTGCCATTATAGTACAGTGCCAGTGCTTTGTATTAACACTGATCACTGTATTGGTGTCACTGGGGATGTCAGTGACACCAAGTCAGTTCCCCAGAGTATCAGAATACCCCCCGCAGTCCCGCTATAAGTCGCTGATTGCCGCCATTACTAGTAAAAAAAAAAAAGAACACATTTTGGCCCACATTTATGACGAAATTTGATTTTTAAATTGTTTGTATAACAAGCATGCTTTACTGCATATACAGACTGATTTTACTGTTGTGGGTTTAACAACACTTTAAGATCAAAATATAATGCACATACCTGATCTTTTTTTATAGCTTATATTGTTTATAATATGCATACGGTACTTTTGTTTCTAATATGCATGGGGTACTATATTGTTTCTAATATGCATACGGTACTATATTGTTTATAATATGCATACGGTACTATATTGTTTATATATGCATACGGTATATAATATGCATACGGTACTATATTGTTTATAATATGCGTATGGTACTTTTGCTTGTAATATGCATTCATTACTATATTGTTTATAATATGCATACGTTACTATACTGTTTATAATATGCAGGCGGTACTTTTGTTTATAATATGCATAGGGTACTATATTGTTTATAATATGCATACGGTACTATATTGTTTATATTATCCATATGGTACTTTTGTTTATAATATGTATACAGGTACTTATTGTTTATAATATGCATACAGTACTTTTGTTTATAATATGCATACAGTACTATATTGTTTATAATATGCATATAGTACTTTTGTTTATAATATGTATAGGGTACTATATTGTTTATAATATGCATACTGTACTATATTGTTTATATTATGCATAGGGTACTATATTGTTTATATTATGCATAGGGTACTATATTGTTTATAATATGTATAGGGTACTATATTGTTTATAATATGTATAGGGTACTATATTGTTTATATCATGTATACAGTACTATATTGTTTATAATATTTATAGGGTACTATATTGTTTATAATATGTATAGGGTACTATATTGTTTATAATTATGCATAGGGTACTATATTGTTTATATTATGCATAGGGTACTATATTGTTTATATTTTTTTTTTTGTTTATTTTTATATATGGTTCTATATTGTTTATATATTATCCATAGGGTACTATTTGTTTATAATATGCATAGGTATACTATATTGTTTATAATATGCATAGGGTACTATATTGTTTATGATATGCTTATAGTATTTTTGTTTATAATATGTATACAGTACTATATTGTTTATAATATGCATACGGTACTATAGTTTATTTAATACTATACTTTTTGTTTATAATATACGGTACTGTATTGTTTATAAAACATATAGTACTTTTGTTTATAATATGCATAGGGTACTATATTGTTTATACTATGCAAATAGGGTACTATATTGTTTATAATATGCATATGGTTCTATATTGTTTATATTATCCATAGGGTACTATTTGTTTATAATATGCATAAGGTACTATATTGTTTTATAATATGCATAGGGTACTATATTGTTTATGATATGCATACAGTATTTTTGTTTATAATATGTATACAGTACTATATTGTTTATAATATGCATACGGTACTATATTGTTTATAATATGCATATGGTACTTTTGTTTATAATGTGCATACGGTACTGTATTGTTTATAATATGCATATAGTACTTTTGTTTATAATATGCATAGGGTACTATATTGTTTATAATATGCATAGGGTACTATATTGTTTATATTATGCATAGGGTACTATATTGTTTAGAATATGCATAGGGTACTATATTGTTTATATATGCATAGGGTACTATATTGTTTAGAATATGTATAGGGTACTATATTGTTTAGAATATGCATAGGGTACTATATTGTTTATTATGAATATATTGTTTATAATATGCATAGGGTACTATATTGTTTAGAATATGCATAGGGTACTATATTGTTTATAATATGCATAGGGTACTATATTGTTTATAATATGCATAGGGTACTATATTGTTTATATTATGCATAGGGTACTATATTGTTTATAACATGCTTAGGGTACTATATTGTTTATAACATGCATAGGGTACTATATTGTTTATATTATGCATACGGTACTATCAGGGGCAGACTGACAACTCATGGGGCCCCCGGGCAATAGGGGATCATGGGGCTCCTGTGTCCTTGCCCAAACTCAAAAAAGCCTATGAAAAAGGTACCAGGGACATCTCATGGGGCCCCCTACTGACCCCCGGGCCCTCAGGCAGTGCCCGAGTTTCCAAATGGTCAGTCCGCCCCTGGGTACTATATTGTTTATAATATGCATAGAGTACTATTACAGGTGGCACTGCTCCTTGCATTGTTTAAGGAATAAGGCTGTGTTTTTGAGATGCCTATATAGTAGATTAGATAGAATAGAAGGGAAGCGATAGTAAATGAAAGGAAATAAGGTGTCACACTATTTTATGCTGTGGTTCCCATGCATACCTAAACAGCAGATGTGCTCCCAGAGAGAGAAGTCAGGGCATGGTTGAGTGGCACAATGCTGGTAAACAGAGGAAATAAGTTGCTTCATGTCGAAACCAGAAACTTCAGGCACAACCTATTGCTTTGCTCGGAATGTTATTGCTGCCTATAGAGACTTTTCTGTATTTCCTGTTGCCCTCGTACAGTACCTTTCTTCTTTCAGTTCACAAGCGCTGCTTCTATGTCTCCCCATAACAGGTATGTTCCTCTTCCCATCTGCAGTTTGCTTTCCTGACACTTTTCATGCCTCTGTTACACAGAACGTTCATTCAGAACAGAAGCCAGAGTACACTTCTAGACACTCCTACTTTTTGTTCTATGAGTAATGAACTAAAAAATGGTAACCAGATAATGGCATGATTCCAGGAAAGGCTTCAGTGGAGTTCAAAGTCACCCTGACAGGGAAGTTAAAGTTTAGCCCTGAACATGTTAACATAGAAAAGTAGAATTCATCCTAAAAGTGACCCCTTAATTATAGGCTGAGCCTGCTTGGAAGAGTCAGAAAGATCTCCCTGTAATAATTACTGATTGTGTGCCTGTTGATCTGTGAGTTTTCTGGGTTCCTACTGTCCTAAGGCTGCATTCACACATGAGCATTTTGTAGCTTGAGGCTGGGTTCACACTGATGTGGTGCGAATTTCGCATCAAATTCCGCACCGCATCACAATCACACCCCGTTCATGTGAACTGCTGCAAGTGTGTATGTTAAGTTACCAACACCCTGAAATCAGTCTGCAAAATGCACACAAATCGCATGTGATTTGCACAGGAATGTGGTGCGGTTCCTGTGCGAATCACATGCAATATACCGCACCGCAAACTTAACTCAAACTTCAAAAAAATCTATTTTTCTCTATGTGCTTGATCACACCTGATCATGCGAACAGGCACCATAGAGAACAATTGATTTTTTTTAAGTTTGAGTTTTTTTTGGAGCTTTAAGCTTCAAGCTTCAGGCTGGTTCACATATATGCAGTGCGAACAGGCAACATAGAGAACAACTGATTTTTTACGTTTGAGAGTTTTTGGAGCTTCAAGCTACAAAGACGTTCAAGTGTGAATGGAGCCTTATAGTGCAATTACCCTTTAAGGTGGGCTGTTATCAAATGGCAATGTTAGATTCAAGGAATTTAATAGCTATAATTAAAGTTTATTTATACTAAAAACATTTTTAGTCACTTGCCCTCCAGAGGATCCACCCCCTGACCAGGCCATTTTTTGCAATACAGCGCTGCGTTATTTTAACCGACAATCGCGCGGTCATGCAGCGCTGCACCCAAATAGAAATTTACATATTTTTTTCCCCACGAATAGAGGTTTCTTTCGGTGGTATTTGATAGCCTGTGTGTTTTTTATTTTTTGCGCTATAAACCGACAAATAAAAAAAAAACAAAAGTTTTTTACTTTTTGCTATAAACATCCAGTAAAAAAATTTTAAAAATCAAATTTCGTCATAAATGTAGGCCAAAATGTATTATTTTTTTTTTTCTTGTAATGGCGGCAATCAGCAACTTATAGTGCGGGACTGCGGGTAGCATTCTGACACTGGGGGGAACTGACTTGGTATCACTGACATCCCCAGTGACACCAATATAGTGATCAGTGCTAATAAAAAAAGCACTGACACTGTACTAATGGCACTGGGCATGAAGGGGTTAATATCTGGGGCGATCAAAGGGTTGTGTTCTGTTTCACTTTGGGGGCTGGTGTGTGTGCTTCTTCACTGTAAGCACACTGCTTTGTATGGCTCTGCTATGCAGTGTGCAGGAGTGTGCAGGAGCTGACAGGGGAGAGATCTGTATTGTTTAATATACACTGTGTTCCAAAATATTATGCAAATGATATTTTTCTCATTTACCTAAATAATTGATGTAAATAACAGTCAGCATAATTCTCATGTTATCAACTATTAAGAGTACAATTCAAATTTTATTGAACAAAACCTCCTAATGATAACAGGATTTTTTTTTAAACATAAAAAACTTCCAATGCACTGTTCCAAATTATTACGCACAGTAAGTTTCAAAACACTTTATAGGTTGTAAAGAACTAAAAATTGTTATTTGTTGTGTTTGCAGCATATTTACTGAAATCAAAAGCTATTTCAATCAAACTTTTAACAACATTTTAACTTTTTAAACATTTTAACAGGTCACGTTACATTGTAACATAGGACCCCTTATTTGATAGCAGCTTCACAAGTCTTGCATCCATTGAGCTTGTGAGTTTTTGGACAGTTTCTGCTTAAATTTGTTTGCAAGATGTCAGAATAGCCTCCCAGAGCTGCTGTTTGGATGTAAACAGCCTCCCACCCTCATAGATCTTTTGCTTGAGGATGCTCCAAAGGTTCTCAATAGGATTGAGGTCAGAGGAGGATGGAGGCCACACCATGACTTTCTCTCCTTTTATCCCCATAACAGCCATTGATGCAGAGGTATTATTTGCAGCATGAGATGGTGCATTGTCATGCATAAAGATGATTTTATTACGGAAAGCATAGTTCTTCCTTCTGTACCAGGGAAGAAAGTGGTCAGTCATAAAACTCCACATACTTTGCAGAGGTCATCTTTACACCTTCGGGGCCCCTAAAGGGTCTGACCAGCTCTGTTCCCATGATTCCGGCCCAAAACATGACTCCACCACTACCTTGCTGACGTCGCAGCCTTGTTGGTACAGGGTGGCCGTCCACCAACCATCCACTACTCTATCCATCTGGACCATCCAGGGTTGCACGGCACTCATCAGTGAACAGGATTGTTTGAAAATTAGTCTTCATGTATTTTTCTGCCCAATGCAGCCATTTCTGCTTCTGAGCATTGGTTAGTGGTGGCCGAATAGAAGGTTTATGCACAGTCACAAAACTCTGGAGGACTCTACACCTTGATGTCCGTGGGACTCCAGAGGCACCAGCAGCTTCAAATATCTGTTTGTTGCTATGTAATGGTATTTTAGCAGCTGCTCTCTTGATCCGATGCATGGATCTGGCAGAAAGCTTCCTCAATGTGCCTTTATCTGCACGAACCCGTCTGTGCTCTGAAATCAGCCACAAATCTCTTAATAGTGCAATGATCACGCTTAAGTTTTCATGAAATATCTAATGTTTTTATACCTCATCCAAGGCATTCAACTATTTCACTCTTTTCGGCAGCAGAGAGATCCATTTTCTTCCCCATATTGCTTGAAAATGGTGCTCTGCTTAATAACGTGGAACACCGTCCTTTAGTAGTTTTTCCTTAAATTGGGCTCACTCTAATTATCACAGGTGTCCGAGATTGTTTTCAGTGATCAAAAGAGCCCTGACACACAATGCCATCCATGAGTTAAACTGAAAAAACAAAATATTTAATCTTTGTGACACTTAAATAGAATTTGCATAATAATTTGGAACACGGTGTAGGTCTCTCCCCCGTCGGAGATACTCGGCGATCACCAGTTGCCAGCAAGTAATCACCGGCCGGGACCAGGTGATTGACAGCCAAGGTCCCTACCCGGAACTGTTAAATCACGTATATATACATGATGTTGCGTACCGTGCCTCCCTGTAGCAGTATTTCTGCTATAGGGTGGCACGGAACTGGTTAGTGTAGGATAGAGTAGAAGGTTAAAACCCCTACCAGGTTATTTTTTTGTTGTCTGTGTATAAATGGGGAATTATCCTTCACTTCCTGTCCCAGTGACACAACAGGAAATTTAAAGAAATCTCCCAAATTGAGGGACAGTTGCCCCTGAAACTAGCATCCTTGTTGGAATATTTACTCTTACTTCTATTTCTGGGGACAGCTCTTTGCTTTTTCCCTCACTTTATTTGGTGACAGCGGGCACCAGTGAAAATAAAGAAATTATTCTCAGCAATTGTGACACACACAACAATAAATCTTGACATGGTATCTAACCCAAACTAAAAAAAACTAAATGTTGCCTAAAGATACACCTTAAAGTGGTAGTAAACCCTCTCTCATCACTTTGGCACATATAAATCAGCATTAAAAGCACTATTAATCGCTGTACTCAGATGTCACCATACTTGCTCAGTTTGCTTGTAATACATCTCATTCTCTGTAATGATGTCACCGGCGCATGTGCATCTCTCCCGCAATTCATGGCACACTCTTTGTGCTGTCAGTCCATTGAGCAGTATGCCATGACCATCATATCTGCTCCCTGCAGCACTGCGTCCAATACCACGAGACCACATTGTCAACCACAGAACTAGAAGGAGGCTTGGCTAAGAAATGATTATAGTAAGGGCTACATGAAAGGGCGGAAGTATTTTGTGCTACAGACACGGAAAACAATTAATTCCCGGGAGGAATGAATTTTCAAACATCTTAAACACAGTAAGGAACATGCAATTGGAGCTAAATTATAATGTATAATGCGTCAGAAGAACTTAATATAATGGCCTAATTAAAAAGCAGCATAGGAGGGAGAGAGTTTACTACCTCTTTAAGGCATACTGTATATGTGCACCATAAAAGGTAAACATGGCCTACAAAAATCACGTGAAAAATTAAGCAAACAAAATTTGGATGAGGTGGAATGCACAACATCACTGCATCACCCAATCAGAGAATGCTTTGCACTCATTCAGAAGATGCTAAGCATTCTCTAAATGGCGCCTGTGCTGAGTGGCCAACCTCCTGTATTCACAAGGTATCAGGCCTCTCAGCCTGGGACCCAGAAGCAAGTGTCGATATAATCTCATCCCAGTTTGAACTTCAGTTAGTTTGAACTTCAGTTCAAACTGGGACATCCAGTGGTACAGTTCCTTGGGAAGACCACAAACAAAACGGTTCAGGGAGACCTACTCCATAATCCTGGGAAGTGGGGTTCAGCACCTCATGTTGCAGCCAGTCTTAAAGTAGGTACACTAGGTTATACAGCTACATAGAAGCAGGTTTAGTCAAATCAAAAGTACAGACACACGGCTGGCTGTCAAGGGAAGAGTCAGCCTCATCTCAGCCAGTATTTCAGCTTTTAACAGCTTTTAGTCACGCTGATTTTGGGCCCAAGTCAAAGTTGCCTGCTGGGGTTCCACAATCAGAAAAGGGACCAGCATATCTGCCCAATCAGATCCAGCTAACATGTCTCTAGAGACAATCTGCTCAAACAGCATCAGACAGGCATCAGCACTGTCCACCACTGTTATTTGTTGTAGGGAGCATAGCTTTCCATGGGTCAGCTGCTGTATGGGAACCATTGTAGAGCCATGCAGCTTGCTGGGTCACTGCATTTTTTAAGACCACAATCTGTCCAACCAGCAAACTGTTCTGCAGATGCTAGCCCTAACTGCTTGACTGGTTCTTCCATCTCTTTTGCTGCTGATTATCGCTTGTGCAGTTTTAGCCCAGTGCCTGGGACTGTCCTACACCCCTCCATATGCCCACTGCATCCTTCACCAATAGTGAGGATTGGGGGAAGTTAGGCATCAGTAAGACAAGCATGGGAAAACAAAAGTCTGTTTTATTTCTTTAAAAAAAACAGCTTTCTTTGGCAAAAAAATTAAAGATAAACAAGCTTGAAATGTTGGGTATCTATTTTAAGATGCAAATTCATCTATTATATTTTACCCAAAAAACTAGGTGATATATTGCATTTGTGAGTTCTAAAACTATTTTTACTGAAAATGTGCTCTTAATAAACTGTTGCACAAATAATGTGTGACATAAAAAACTGGAGACAGCATGATTTAATTTTCCAGGATCTCTGCTTTCAGAAAATATATACTGTTTGGGGGTTTTAACTAATCTTCAGACCACAAATGATTTTTACAATGTGTGCAAAGACACAAAAACAGCTCTGGCCAGGTGAGGACTGACAACTCATGGGGCCCCCAGGCAATAGGGGATCATGGGGCCCCTGTGTCCTTGACCACACTCAAAGCACACCCAAAAAAGCCTATAAAAGGTACCAGGGGCAGTTCATGAGGCCCCCTACTGACCCTGGGCCCTCGGGCAGTGCCCGAGTGCTCTAATGGTCAGTCCACCCCTGGCTCTGGCGCACCCAAAAGTGCCAGTCTGCAATTTTCAAAGGGATTAGTTAGTTGTTTTTTTTTTATGTGAGGACATTTTATGTAATAAAGCACTGACTCACTGAAGCTGCATTATTCTTTACTAAGCTCTCCACCAGCTTGCTCATATCAGTGTAGAAATTGGCAGAGGGCAGACTGGCCGTGGATACATCAGTCTCCACCGACACCTGGCTCACCGTTCCATCCTGCAAGTGATCTTCTACAGGGTCTCCAGTAAGCATCAGGGGTATTATTCAAGCTTCAACCCCTTCCGGCAAACTCACAATGTCTTTTTTGAAGCAGACCGGTATAGTCTCCCTCCACTTTAGCAGACCACGGGTGCAATTAGGCCAGGCTCGACCTTTGCGCTGGCTCAGCTCTCTTCACTATCTGTCGAATCTCCCTTTCCATCCATTCACTCCCAGGTATTTCCACCACTGTACACAGCTCCAGTCGACTACCTTGCTCCCAGCCCCACAGCCGTGGTGGCTGGGTCCATCCGTTCTCCATCTCTTATCAGTTTGCTTGCTAAGGTCAACCATGAGGGTATCCTGGATGAGCTGCCAAATATAGTGCTACCCTTATGGGGGCTGCTGTAAGACATGGGCCCCTAAAGGTTGCCCTGGTCTTGCAACCCACCCGACACCTCTGACGCCCTGTGTTCAGACATAATGCACACAGGAAACAGTTGCACAGACACTTGAATGCAGTAATGCAGTTGAATTTTTACTAAGTTATTCAGTCAGTAAACAGTAAATAACAGTTACCAGAGTACCACCCTGCTGGAAATTCAAACCATGACCTCAGGTGAACTTGGAAGAGATAAACACAATACATCAAAGAGGGTCTCAAATATTGTCAGTAAAGGGGCCTCCGACTTCAGGTAGAAAAAGGAAAGAGGAAGACTTTATGATGGCAGTCTGCTCCCTCAAAGTCCTGATGCCACAGGTCCTGAAAGCAGCACACTCTGTATATTAAATGTGTGAGCTATGTTAAGAACAGTTTTAAATAGAGTCCCCCTTTAACATATGTACATGGATAAGTCCTGGGTCCTGGGATTGATGAGTATAAAGGAGAGTCCTGGTAGAAGGAATGTCCTTCAGCTAGCTCAATAAGGGCCCAAAGGATTTCTTTTCGACCAGCAATAATAGATATTTTATGTAGATGATTCGAGGTAAAGGTCTCATACTTGTAAGTAGGTGTGAGGTATAAAAGGTGTCTACATGCAGTGTCCCTTAGTGAAGAGTGTACACAGTGTGGGCTTCTGCCCGCTCAGCAATCCTGATGATACTTCAGCTCAAGGTTTCCAGGGTGTCCTGGAAAGCTCCCGCAGAACCTACAATTGACGTTGGGCGCTCGGCCTAGCGCCTTGTGACACTGGGATTCCGTTGTGGATGAGATGGTGACGATACGTCTCGGTTCAGTCACATTTGCCGACAGGAAACTGCAGACGAATATTCTAGTGGATGGTCAATAACTCCCACGCCAAAGATTCCAATTCTGTCTGGACTGCATGGCCTGCTCAGCTTTCCACAGCAGCTCGATCCCTGTTTGCAGCTTCAGCCCATAGTCCAAAGAGGAAGAGCATTCTCCGGAGTGTGACTTATTTATTCTCCCCCAACATTCACCTCTCCTCCTCCAGCTGGCTGGAACCTGTAGTTCCCAGCAGCATCGGTTCCTGCCAAGTCTCTCCCATCCAGACTACATGTCCCACAATCCCCTGAATGCGATGAGATCCTCTTCTCTCTCTGTGCCATTAAACACAATGTCATTATTGTAACTGGACACTAGAGGGGGCATTAATTCAACATAGTCATTATTATAAATGTCCGGCAGTGGCACAGATAGGTTGACCAGCACTGGGCTGAATATACCAGTGTAGGAGCTTTGGGTGACAATATCTGCCCTAATACCAGTTCTGAGTGGTGGAGGAGCTACAGGGCAACAGTATCTGGAGAGTGGAAGTGAGAAGTACATATGGCTTACTGGAGGAGACAGGAATGATCTGGATGTCCTGCTGATTGCTGTTACCCTAAGACAGTCCGTTGAGTCTTTTACTTATATAGAGTATCTGGGACTTGTATATTTAAAGGGACAGTTTATATGTGAGTATAGGCAGTCCCTGAGTTACAAACTGCTAACCCGGGGACTGCCTGTATGTGAGCTATGTATGTATAATACTTTAAATATTGGTGTTTTACTGTAGATGTTACAACACTATTGTACTGCTTATATTTTAATGCTAGTTCTGAGAGGATAAGGAGCGAAGGTTGCTATGGTCCTGTATGTACATAGAATGTCTCAATAAAGAGGAGAACAATTTGAATGTCCTGCTGACCTGAAATGTGCATATTGGACTTGCTTGTAACTCACAGGTTTTTTATTTATTTATTTATTATAGGTACTTATACAGCGCTGTTAATTTACGCAGCGCTTTACA